TACAAAGATAGAATTTTCAGGAAGGCGGAAGCGGGCAATCCAAGGGCTGCCATTCAGTGTTTTAGGACAGGACGATAGACGACCTCACAAATATATTTACTACATTCATCTACACGCTCACGTACTTACAGAATATTCCACTGCTCTCAGATCAATGTCCAACATGCAGCAAGAAACAAACGAAAAACAAACTACTGCCCGACAGAATATGAGACATTGGAATATATTAATTTCACTCACCCTTTTGTTGTGAAATTCTTGTTTTTACCATCTCCACGGTTTCATAATGGCTCACATTTAAACGAATCACAGTTCCGGCCAAAGCACGGATGAATATGAGCATAGTTGTAGTGTCAACTGAATTGATCAGAAGGGAGAGAAAGCAGAAAAACGATTCCAAAGGCAGAAAGAGGAGTAGGCGAAGTCATGGCTGTGAGTTTCCATTTGACTATTTATTCTGTCGCGTGATTACGCGTAGACGCACCGACGCACATGTACATCACAGTGCATTTCTCTGTCGCGTGCGCATGTGCATGCGTGCACGCACCCATGTGTGCATGTGTATACCGCCAGTCTCGTGCTAACTTACGCGTGCATGCTCGCATTCGGTCTGCTTCACGTACCACCACGCTAGCGATGCAGACAGTCTGCCAGTCCGCCAATCAATCACGCGCGTTTGTCTGATCCGATCGGGCCTCCGATATCAAGGTCATTTAAGATAACCAACCGAGGCCATAAATCGACCAATCATATGATGGTTTTGGTTGCCTGAGAACCAATCAAAATCACGTGCAAGACAGGTGAATATAAACCAATAAAAATTGTTTCGGATTACACGGATGACCGCACGTTTCATTTGCTGAGTCAGACCACCGTTCATTGTCATCACACCGTGCGGAAAGCTGCAGTTCCTGGCCGGTCGTTAGGTTTATACGGCTCGGAAATGGGTCATGGCAGGTTAACAACACTGCGAGTCTGTGCGACTGGACTTGGATTCACAGCCGACGATGCGTTATTGCACGTTTCACACACGTGAGGGCAGACGCGCCTACCCATCAAACGGGGATCCGAGTGAAAGTGTGCACAGATTTAGGCTAATCCTCACGACGGTCGCTTTGTTCGATCAACCATAGAGTTAGGGCTAAAAATGCACGCTAGACTTGACAACCGTAACAAAAAATTGTGGAAACGGCAGGGATGGTTGGCGCAATGTGACGATCAGTGCCTACATTTCAGTCAGGAGCAGTGGGAAAAAAACACGCAAGGAACTCCTCTCACAATAATACAAAATTAGAAAGGTAAGAAGTACATAGGCTCGTTATAGGTGAGGGTAAAACGTTTTCTTAAAGGTTAGAATATAAGTCAAACGGGACACTTGAATAATTAAAGGATTGCAACGTGGAGCAATTATCGTTAGGCATGTCTTTCCAATCCAGCTGGTGGGGTGATAACCATTCTGCGGGAATATCATTCGAATGCATGCGAAAATTTGGCACCCCAGTTTTATAGATCCCACTCACCGTAGATTTTCTGTCGTTCCCATCCGTCTACTAGATCTCCGTACCGTTGTCCCCTCATGCATACATATCTCTCGTAGCTCTGCATTTCCGGTGAAAGGCAGCTCTGCCGTCACCCGGCTCACTATCATGCCTGATTTAATGAAACCTTGTGGTCCGCCACTCCAGCTCTCAGATTCATGGTTGCCGGTTTCCTTTTCACAACACGAACATACAAAACAAAATCACTTAAGGTGGTGGCAGTGCAGTGGTCTGTTCACTGCCACCGGCGTGCTTTGGACCCTAAGGTCAGAGGTTTGAGCCCTGCCACCGCCACCCAACTTGTGGATAGGCAACTTTTCTGTCATCCGGTTCAGTACCACACCTAAACTAATGTGTCCTTATGTGGTCCGCCACTNGCCACTCCAAGTCCCACGAGGCTTAGGTTACCGAGTTTCCATCACTGAACACCAGGTGCTCGCGACTATGGGATTCGCCCCGTCTATTGTTCATCACACATAATGTGTGTAATAAAAAAATATCCTCTTTAGCAACGACAACACAACAAAGAACTGGTTTTCTCGGACTTGAAAGTTTTAAGATACACTGATCTTTTGCAGTTGTGATATTATTTCACATTTTTAGCAGTTTGTGAACAAATTTTCATTCCAAGAGAAACTCAAGCAAAAAAAATGATAAATAAGCGGAATATGGAGTTTAAAAAAACTGTGAATTAACCACCAAGTGCATTAAAAATTTCAGAACGAACACTCTCCTTCACGCTCAGTGTCCGAGTAAGTTTGCTTTCGGTGTGGACTGAGGACTGGAGTTTATATGCATACAGGTCAGTGTGTAAAAGCTGAACACAATCAGATAGAATAGTGTTGGCAAACTTGAAGCACGCATCATTATAGACTTCATAGATCTTGTCAATCAGGACAGATAACGAATTTTGGGAAACAGGGCCGATCATTGTGAGACCACGAACCAGCAGGTTGAAATCAGCAAATCAGGTAAAATCACAGGGGAGTAGTAGAGGGGTTTAGGGAGGACACATTGTTGAGCGAAAGTGTCTAGTACCGATAAATTAGAAAAAAAGTGGCGTAGTCTGCTTATTTGAAAGGAGAAACCTTTCAGCTTCCGAGCAACAAACAGTTTGAGTATATGAAGACCAAGAAAGGTGTCTCTCAAATGTGACATCCAAGTACTTCACATGGCTGACCTGGTTCATCGGCTCTTCCTGGATCTGTACATTGTCAAAGGCAAATACGGAAAGGTTTAAAGTAAAAGTAGACTCGAGGCATTTTTGGGGATTAAGATCAAGACCGGATGAAATGGAATACGTAACGAGATGTGATAAATTTATGTTATATGCGGTCAGTTGTGACTGGTTAGATAGGGAAACAGAACTGGCGATATCATCAGCATACTTAAACTTTTGTCCCGGGGGGGGGGTGATAGATAAGTCACTGATATCAGTCTCAAAACAATAGGATGATAGGACAGCACCTTGAAGTACACCCGAACTACTGAGTAATGCCATTGACTGTCTTTTTCTTAATTTAACATGCTTATATATATATATATATATTTGCGAAGAGTAATCTCCAAACCATTCAAGAACAGAATTGGGACAGCCAAACGATTGGAACACCGAGTCAAAAGTGAAAGAATAGTCAAGAAATGCACAGAGGACATATTTTGATTGCACGTTTAGGAACTTGCAAACAGAGTAAACTGAGGAAGAAATAATAGCCAGCATAGAGCGGTTGTCATCGAAGGTGGTGAGAGATAACTGTGAGCGATTTAAAACCAACTGTTTCATCAATTTCAAACCAGCGGAAGTGTGAGTGTTTCTCAATTGGAATTTGTGCTTTTCCTTTGGAGATGAGTGTAATTATCAATGGGCGCCAGTACTCCAGAAGAGTTCTCAGTT